AGATGGGATTTGAGATTCAGCCCTGCTTCACTCCATTAATCACTGTGAATGCTTTGGAAACTGCCCCGTAGTCGGCGCGTCGTGTTGTCTTCCCCTCGTTGAGCAGGTGTCATCGGTTTGAATCGCTCAGGACGGCCAAATTTTTTCACAGTTTTTCACAGGCCATCGCCATTTACCATACCGAAGACATTCGTCAAGTCCATGAAATGTAGTGCGGATGTAGGCCCTCATCATCCAGCACTTTTTTTCTAGCTGACGAGCAGCGAAGGCATTGTCAGTGGTTTCGCGTTGTCATCGGAATCCGCATAGACTTTACGACAAAATTCCTTGTTCGAAGCACCTGTCGAGACTGTTAAGGAGGATGTGAACAAAGATCTTCGCGTGGATGCTGCGCAGCAAGATCTTTCTGTCATTTTCACAGACTTGTCCGTTCCCGTTCATTTGAAGAAGTAGACGACTAATGCATCCTTGAGGTTCTGATAAGCGTATCTTAGAAGGCGCATCTTCTGGTATCGCGCAGTAAGTCGATCCACTAGTCATTAGGCGCCGTGCTTTAAGGTTTCAGTTGGGATCGACTCCGATCTGGGCGCCTCCCCTTTGGGGATTATGCGCACGCGCGGTAAGTTTCTGGAAGCGGGAAGGGCGGAAGATCTATGTCGATCTTAATTTTTAATTTAGGGAGCAAGTTGGTGGCAGTGGCGACGGCGGCGGAGTTTGTTGGTGAGCGACTTTAGACACTTCGAAAGTGCACAGTCCAGAGCTTTAGAATCAGCGACTGTTGTGTTAGAAGTGTTTTCTGTTTATACTGAAAAGCAGGAAGGTTCTTTTTCTGTAGGAACGTAGGTCGCCTTTATCGTTGTAAAGACGCTGTTTTAACCATTGCGGTCGGCATATCCTTGCGTCTCTTCAGCCATGCGTGCTTACTGCATCGCCACAACCGTCGCTGCACAATGCGGCGATATCGGTAGAAGGCCAATTTGTTTGCAGCAGTCGGGCAATCAATGGCGACCCTGTGAAACCTTAGCTTTTTAGCGAGCAGGTTGCTGATGGCTGCGTTATTTTCGTCAAACCAATCCTGGTCTACTCAGATGTGTTCTTAGTATGCAATCACCTCACCGTAAAGTATACGACTAGCCGTCTGTCAGCGATTACCGCTGTTGATGATGGACTTCGGCCCAAAAATTCATACGTAATGTTCGATCTGAGCCTACAGACCTCGAGTAAAATGATTTACTCCACGTTCGTAGATGACCTCTGGGGAAATTAAAGTGCGGCAAATTCTAAATTGGAGTAACCAGCATTAAACAGATTGGGATCGCTGCAAGACCCACTGGCTTTTGTCTAGTACCTGTGCTGTTAATATGGTATCACCTTACCCTAAAGCATTCTAATAGCTGTCTGTCGAAAGCTTATGAATATTACGCAGTTGCGCGCTGTGCTTGATGGACTTTAGGTCAAATATTTATGCATAGAAATATCGGTCCGAGTCTATAGACCTTGGATAAACTGATATACTCCATGTTCGTAGTTGATTTCTGACGAAATTTAAAAGCGACATGTCCTTTTGTATCTTTAAATAGATATCCTATGAGCAATGCTCCCAACTATATAAGGGACATTATTAAACGTGCAGATGACACTGTATTCCAATGGACACTGCAGGATCTTGAAATATGTCGTAATTAAAAATATAAAAAAGCCCAAATATTCCATCTAGAATTTATGAATAACCAAAAGTCATTATCTCCCCAAAATAATTACGCTTAAGTTGTAACTACTTTATCAGCCATAAGACTCAATCAATTCTTTTTATCCACATTCTTACCTGTTTTTTTAACAGATCGATACACTAAGGACCACGGTAACGAAGTCCAGGGTGGACATCTGAAAGATTAAAAATCAGACGTAATCTTGTGGCACCGTTTTTACCAATATGACGCTGTGTAGAGGTGATGGTTAAGAAACCCTTACACACCCCCCTAGACGGCTAGCGACAATTGTTTCGAAGACAGCTGTAGTACCATGGAGGTTTCATGGAAGCCATTTTATTAAACTATGCGGCTCAACAAAGGTCAATGATTAATCTTACAAAATGTTATCCGCAGCTCTGCTATTCATTTTCAATTACAAAAGGGAGTCCTTAAAGGGGTTTGGGTGATCAGCTATTATACAAAATAATCACAAACGTTGGATGTTGTCTTTTAAGTGCAATTCATTTTAGCCGCTTGAATTAGCCGGTTTCAGTTAAAGATGGCCAATTATACAGTGTGTATTTTTGCCATTGACGTGTTCAAAAGTTCGGAAGTTGTTCTCACGAAATATGCACAAACCAATTCTGGCTTGTATCCGTTACGCAGAGAATAATTTCCTCCTGAAATTCTATACACTAATATGCTATTTTCTATTTACAACTATGAACCTGATCTGCTGTTGCAGTTATGCTGGGGATTTTTGGGTGTTTATGCTGTACACTGTTTGTATTGGAAAAAGGCATACACTCTCCTGCGACTTCAAGGAGATATCCTGTGGAGTTCATTCAAATTCACAATGAAGGCAATCCATGCTATCAAGTTAATGAGGAGCATTGTTAAGCTAGGAGACACTAGGATATTTGAGTAACTGTAGGTTTTAGGACCAATGAAGCTAGCCACTGCAACATGTACACTAATATTCTGTGTCATTTGAACACAACATATTATTCAATGTTCCCATTGACTGAAATTTCTTTGCACCTCCGACTGAATATAAACTTAACAGCGACGCTTTATTGGATGTGCGCTATTTTTTAAATTGCCTTTTGCTATTTTTTATTATTGCGTTCAATTTCTTTACGAAAAGACGGAAGATATTTGCTTATTTTCAGTGTTTACTTAGTCTCTGTCCTATTTATATTGCCGCACCCGTTAACACCCCTCCTACCACAATTTAACGTATGACATGGTGCACATGCCGGTTCAAGTTAGTTATCGGTTCTAGACTCTGCTGTTGCTGATATCTTAATGGACATTAAATGGTCTTGAAATATTTTGTACTTAGTAAGTTTTCCTAAAACCCCAAATTGCCTTTCCCTAGAAAATAAAGTTTAATGTCGTTATTTTTTTCCAATTAAACAAATAAAAGTCTTCTTTGTTCATGTTTTCTATAAAAGCACATTCTAATATATAAACTCACAAAAAATCAGTCAGAAATACATGTCATAGAAGCAGCTGTTTGTTATGAAGTGCAAATTTTGTAGACGTTAAATTACTTTCGCGGTCTCCGATACATTTATTGCAATTGTTGTTGCTTACGGCCCATACAGAGTATTTGTTTTTCGAGGAAGTTGTGCGCCACAGTATTTGTGGCATAATTAGAAAGTAATCATGTATAAAGACTTTTGCGCCAGTAAAGCAACGCATACCTGACGTAATAAATGTGCCAATGGTTAGTCTAGTAGCCACTGCTTGAGGACCATTATGATGACTTGCAAAATGGCGCAGGTTCAAATTGAGAGATTTAATTTGCTTTATATAATGCTTAAATGAGGTTACTTTTAAAATTTAAAAAGGTAACAGCTCGCGGTCATCTAATATTGAAAATGCATTATTTTGCTAGCCTGTTGTCTGATTTTGGCTCACCGCGTTTTACCGGAAAGTGGGCTAATTTTTTTATTGAATACCGCCACCCATACTTTTGATATCTTAGGATCATTCATGGCTGCTTGGTCTCAAACGTATACCTAATCAACTATGGCTTTTAGCCAGCTAGAAATAAAAGTACATTTCTTATGGAACTAGTAGTTAGAGTGCCGAGTGGGCACCGTGCTGGAAGGGCAGGACAATACGAGCAAATAATGACTTCAACTAAGGCACTGATAATGGTACATAGATGGGCGTTTGCACAGGCAACTCCCGCGTAAATGAGATCGGTAGATCGCCATTTGGGCAAGATGGTAACTTTAAAGCGCGCTATTAAATGCCCTCCTTATCTTTTAAAATATTCGGTTACGTTGATGCTTGAATACTCTGACCGATGCATTAGCCCCTGGGCCATAATATATTCCTCGAGTGCGGCAACCCCTAGCACCACTGCACTATCAATGTTGATTGCTCTCCGCAATGCCTCCGAGAACGGCTACAACAGAACAAACCCTACATTATCACTCCATCTGACCGCGTAAAGTTACAACCGGTTTTTTTTCCGCCATTTCCTGAGTCCTTCAAGTACTGACACTTACGCATGTGGCCATAAGTCAATGGAATTACATTTTAAACCACATCAGTGGAAGGAGATCCGCATTTTGAGCTCTTTGTTATGCCGAAAGATTTCTTCTTGTGTGGCTATAAAGCGTACGCTGATAGTACAAATAAGCCACCAGGCGGAATTTCAAATTCATCTCGAATGACGATGAGGGTCCAAATGTCAGGCACACGCATGAGAAAGGAGAAGTACTGGTTGAATATCAGGTAAGATTTGCTTTTGTGACCTCACCTGATAGACACAATACTGTTGACCTAGTTAACTGTTTTGCGTTGGTGTGATTGCGTTGACATGCTGTTACTGTGTGTTGCGGTGTGTGTTCTGTTGACGGCCCTGTTTCTTTGTTGTCGTGGCTACTTTTTGGCCTAATACCAGTGGTCTTTCTTAACTTTCGGCCTATCGTCTCCTTCTGAATTTCGAGTTGGATGTTCTTGGGTTTAGGGCTGCAGTTAATGTTTAGTGTTAGAGCTGGGGTTAGGATTAGGGCTAGGGGTTATGGTTAGGGCTTAGGCTTAAGGGCAATGTCTTGGGGCTAGATATGGAGGCTAAAGCACTGTATCCCGTGCCTAAAATATCCATGTATCTACACTTCCAGACTGGACGCATGCTCGGATCGCGCGTGAGCGAACTTAAGGCGGCTGTGCGACACGGTGGCGAAGTAGTTCAAGTACCGCTGGCATCTTTTCAACGGGTCGCGTGTTTAACATTGCAGGAGCGAGGATGGCCGAACACATCGAGAGAAAGACACGCCAATAAGTAGTTGTAACCGGCGGCCCAGATACGAACTCAGCCAACCAATTTTATTATCTGCCCCAAGCTGTGTGAACCCTACGCAGCTATCTCCAAACTCACGGCAGTGGTGGCTAATTGGAAAATACCCTGTCACCCGGACTGTTGCTATTTTTGACCGGAGAACGACACCCGTGTGCCTTCGAGAGAGCAGACACATCAAAGGATGATTGCGATTTAATTGAATTTGCTCTTCTTACAGATGAGCAAAAGCCGATTCAATCTGTACAGGCCAATAAAATGATTATGAAGAAGATGCTGTCAATATTATTATACCATAAGTTAAAAATCATATGCAGACCCATAAACAACGTAATTTAGTGTAAAATGTGTAAGCATTAATTCTAAAAGATGTGGGTACTTCCCAGGTTTGGTTATATATTATCTTGATTCTTATTGAACACGCTATTCAGAATAATCTGCCGGCAAGTATCACAATCTTTCCTCGATATTCATGGTCATTTTCATCCGATTAGGAAACAATGATGCTAATATTTTGAATAGCAAAGAGAAATTATTAAAAATTTGCCTTTGGTGTCTGGAGCACAGTCCTATCGCTAGCCATCTTTTTTAAAAATTGTTGCAGTCACTCAGCGTGAGATCCTAGGACTTCAGTGATAATAGAGTCTCATTTTGCAAAGGCTCTCCCTAAACATGTGCCTGTTTAACATTCCTATCATTTTCATCAGTGAAAAAATTTGCTTTCGTCTAAAACCGTTATCAGCACCATGACCAGTAGGGGTAGGAAGAATAAAGAGAGCATATGCGATGTGCACCGAAAGATCAAAAGGATATCTGTATGGATTTACTCATTGTGGTAAGAAAACATCAAACGCAGACCTCCAATTAGGCGACAAATTCATGGTAGAGAATGTAAAATCGGAAACGTGACTTATGCTTGGACTAAGGAGGACGTCTTGTTCCAATCTGACCACTAGGTACTGCCTGTCAAGTTAGCACACTTTCTTGAATGGAGGCGAAAATTCGAATTTCAGGAGGAAGACAATCGAGCACAGGGATATTCTGTTTATTTTTCTGAGCTTTTGAACTCGTACAGGAGTCAAACCTCAGAGATAGCAACGTTAACAGATGCAAAGACAATTCTTATGCCTACTAGCCAATCATTTATCGATGGAACAATACAATAACCATGTGCAGCATGAATATGAAAATTAAGTTGCGGCAAAATCCTGGAGTAGTTTATCGCATCCCATTCCAAAATTGTCCTTGTAGCTACACAGGCAAGACTGGAGGCGTGTTCTCATTATGCCCACACAAAAATAAGCTGCTCGAGTTGCTGGGAGACGAAATATTACAAGTGGATGTCCACACCTACGAAGTGGATCACGAATTTAACTACAAAGTCATCAATATAATCGCCTACTCAGGAAACAAAGCTGCCCAAAAACCTTTCGAAGCTTGGACCTCGGATGAGAACTCAATGAATCGATTTATCGATACGACGCCGGCGCACAGTGCCCAGTGCGTTTACTTAAAGTTGACTCTCTTTACAGATGCCGGAGCAAAGCAGGTAACCTTTCCAGTTTAAGGAACTACGAGCAGCTAAATAAACATCTTACCCCTCATCCATGTTTGCATGTTGCCTACAGTCTAATTGTGCTTCTCGTCGTATCATATTTCCAATTTCACTCCCTTTCGCCTGCGATGAGCCGACAAGACGTGCTGTCATCTTGGTTATAGGCAGACATTCAGTGAAAAAAACACTACACTGGGCAGATTCTGAGCTCGTAAAGATTACCTCGGGTCTGTAAATCCTTATCGCTGACATGTGTTTAAATTACTTGCAGATGTGGTGTTTCGTTATGAAAATTTTAATAAGCGGGGACCGTCTAAGCCCTCACTGTCCCATTTGAAACAACAAAATTCGTTGTTTTTCCTCTAAGGCGGATGCTGCAGTTTAGGGTAGATTGCTTATGTATTAGTAGAGGGCTGTTAGAGAATTCTAAATAAACTGACCTAAATTAGACCTAGCTAAGATACAGATTTTGCATGCGCTAGAAGCAAGCTGAGACCAAACGGAATTACGACACGCAATGCATTCAATCATTCTGCCTTTTATGGAGATTTTTTTATGGAAAACAAATGTTCTGCACGCACTGGACCACAGTACTGTCCGTTTAGCTTTATTTTATCATGCATTTCTGCCACCGGAAATAGGGACTGTCTTAAAAAATCTGTTCCCGTCTACTAAAGACAGGGTGTTGGTTGGCTAAGCCTTTTTATTCTCTGATTTTCCTAGATATCGTTTGAAATTTACAGCGACTGTGAAGGCAAACAGAATTTTAGAGCACAATATGGGTTCTGGATTTTTAAATTGGCTTTGAGTTCGCACATGGTTTGATAACTTTAGAAGCTATAAAATTGCGCTTGTTCTGTCAACCGACCATCGAATGCAGCTATCATGTCTTCCCGGTCATATGAAAATGAATTGTATCTGCAACTTTCGTAAGATCTATAGTGATGTTTGTTTAAAATTAGATAACTGCCTCAAATAACATTCTGTTATAAACTTGAAAAAATGAGTTTTTCCAGGTTTTAAAAAGTTTAATTTTGCGTCTATTATGTCTATGAATTTTCCATTAATTAAGAAAAGTTTCTCTTCACTTATTTATGTTGTATGTAAAGCAGACATTGTGGTTCAAATCCGCGTAAAATTTTAAGCATATTATACGATACATCCCTGGTATCTTGTAGAAATAAGTGGTGTTCCATACATGGAAAATGTAAAGGTAGGTTGGCTCCAAGTTTTCCATAGAAAAACGTAGACGCAATACAGCCTTTTGTAAACGGAATTCTGCTTTGTAGTTATATGTTAGTTCATACGTTCAAGCTACCGCTTAATTTGCGGATGATTAAGAACGCCTTCTGTAGCTCGAATCGCTGTCTGGTTTTTATCACATTCCAACTTTTCTGACAGCAGTTTCTGTTTCTGCCTGGTTTGTCACCTGGTAGTGTTGGTGGTTAAAAGCAGATCAGCATTGCCGACAAAGGCTAGGGAGACTGAAGTGGACATTTCCGGATTATTAATCATCGTCTGCTGGTCATAGCCAAACCTGGGCTGTGTAGACGCAGGGGCTCGATTCCGCGACCTGTTAGCTTAATGTTCAACGCCCTATGTACTGGGTTTATATGTCATTTTAGGTTCAATCAGGCACATGCATTGTTTTAGGGGTGCTTACCGATCGTGCAACGTAACGCACTCTTTTCGTTGAGCTTGGGTTTCACATTCGATTTCTGCTCGCAGCCGCAAAGGGGGTGTACAAGATAGGTAAAGTGAACACTAACAAAGATAAGGGTAACTGAAATGAACATTTCTGGCTTTTAAGCCGTTTCCGGCTAGCCATACCCAACCCCGGGGCCTGTAGGCCCTGGAACTCGATCCCGCGACCTAACCGCTGAGCCACGGGCTTATTATAAAATAGATGAACGCCTTCTTGGTACTGCCTTGGCAACTGTTAGGAACGTATCCACCAGTAGGCTTTTAGTCGTTTAGATAGGCTGAATTTTAACGCACTGCCGGAGTTAGTTAATGAAAGGGCATTTGAAGGAAGAAGCGAGGCGGTCGGTAAAGCTGAACCCTATCCGACTGGATGTATCACGTCTTCGATTTCCACATGTGCAAATCAGCCTGACTTTTAACTCTTTGACTCCAAGTATTGGTTGTGCTGTAGAGACGCTAATTAACTGCAATGGTTAGACTGGTAAATTACGCTGGCTTCTCTGCACAAAGGGAGTTTGGCGACTTCTCCTAACTGTTGATGTTCACACCGCTTTCGTTTTTGATCTCAACTCTATCGGTGGTCATTTGACGGACTAGTACAAGTCGACTGGTGCGTCAGAAAGGGAGAATGAGTGCGAATCACAACAGGAAATCAATATTGATAACATCTCAGGGAATTCTTCATTTTAATAAACCCGACGTAGTTAAATCTTCTGCAGTGCGCTTTTAGTAGTGACCTTCACGGTTCTCAAATGACAGCACAGCCTGGTCAAACTCAGATCCGAGCAATTCGACCTTTTAGCGCTTTTATTCCTGTGAGATCTGTGATGAGATTACAGTAGCCAAAACAGCTTGTGTGGACTAGGTCGTGTTTTTTTACGAGTCAATGGATAGCCTAGCTTTGTCAGTCAGTACATCCGCACCCACCGCGGGTTGTCGGGGCACTTCCCTGGCAGTGGGAGGAGATGAATGAGCGAGGAGATTGCGCAGTAAATAATCTGCAAGGCTGACACACTGTATGCTAATTTAAGGGCAAGCCATCCGTTTCGTGCATTCTCCGTGGGAAACGCGGCGAAAGTTTCCGATGGAGACCGCTGAATTGTCACAACCTGATGGGCAGCCAAGGTGTTGAACTGCTTCATGTGTTAGATAACCTACACCAGTTCTTCGCTCAACCGAACCTGACAGACTTTATACCTGCGTTTTCTTCAGAGGTTTTGTAACGGTCCGAGATGAAATAAGTTCTCTTGTTAATTCCTAAATTTGTTCATGTACCGCAGACTAGTGCCAAATGCTACTGTCTGCGATGATGCATGGTGAGACATGAAACTTAGGAACTACACAACTACATTGCGGTTCAACGACGACCGCTTTTCATTGTTGAGGCAGCCGTCAACTAGTGCGCGCTTTGTGTCAGCATGATCCCGGTTTCGTCAACCGTAATCCCGTGTGACGTCTCATGATTTGCTCCGCTTCTGGAGAGTTGATGTCATTTCGTATCACTGCCAATACACGTTCAGAACTTTTTATTCGCAGTAATCTCCGTGTTTCTCAAGAGTTTTTTGTTCTATTTTTATCAGCATCATGCACAACGAATGACTTTAAGTGTTTCCCCCAGTTACAGCGGGTGCTTGATTACTTGGTGCTTAACGTCCGTCGGAAATCCTAAACCAGAGTGGAAAGCAAATGTGTCCAGCGGCGCCGAACACGTAAAACGATTCACAGCGAAGTATGCGTTCGGTAGGCCTTGGCTTTTTGGATCGTTTTGCATGCACTGGTCGATGAATTCTTGTGGAGAGACGTTCCCTTGCAGCACGTTTACAGGGTTTTATACTTTAGACTCGGGGTCCTCCTGTTCACTGCAGCAAGTCTCCAGATGCCGACAAACAATCACTAGATAGGCATGGTATATACCCGTCCACAACGGACAAGATAACAAACCCGTAACTCAGTGTTTAGAAGCGTTGTGTTTCTAACCAACAAATCCTGGGATCAAAGTCCAGATGTTCCACACTTTGGGGCTGGTAACGAATAACTGATGACGGCGAATAAGCCAAAAAATGACTATTTCGGTCTCCTTTATCTTTTTCGGTAATGCTATTCTGCTTATATTGCCTGCCGCTGTGCGACTACTAACGGGACTTGGGAAAGAGCTCCAAGGCACAACGGGATGCGCGTGATCCGTAACGCGATCGGTTAACGTCCTCCTCTCAGTCAATATGCTCAACGAAAGAATCAAGGAGGCTTAAAGTACTCTTCTCAGCCAGCTATATTTTCAATTACTTACCAGAAAAACGGTTCCTATATGCAAATCTGGTATTGTTTGGTGGAGACAATGTTACTCAAACGTTCGTACTCAAACTTGGTAAAAAAAACCAGTTTGTGAATGAAAAACGGCATTAGCAACAAAGTAAGAGATTAGTAAGACCATTGTCATTTCCTCGTCTTAAATGCCTTTGACAGTAAACACAAGACCTCTTTTTGTACAGGAGTTTCCGGCTTTGCGCGCCCAACATAGTAAAGCATGCGCGATTTTAGCTTGACCGCGTTTAATAAAATGGGAACTAGTTCTCATTCAACTGTGATACTTATATCCTCTTTTCAAATACTCCTATGAACATGCTTCTCATAAGAGCGTTTGACAATAAACTACGTTGGTACGTTGACGAATGATAGGCGTGAGCTCGCATCTCCTCGTAAGCTGTTAACACAAAGCTGAAAGGATCACTTTAAAAGAGGATATTGTTTTTTGACGGCATAACTAGCGAACAGAGCTTCGGACTTTTTCTCTGTTAAAACTTAAATTAGAAGAACATCTATAAGGCAGTGACTGATCTCACGAAATATTAACCAATATTTCGGAATGCGTTTGCGATTAGGAAGAAACACCTAATAGAGATTTTGGTGCTGACTAGCTTGCTGCAGAAACTGAATAAACAGCCTCTGAATGAAGAATCTGCCGCAAATAGGAAGGAAACTTAGAGTCGCTGCAAAAGGCCTGACTGCCAGAAAAGGCGCGGCAGAAATAACTCAAACCTTGCGGAAAATCCAACTCAACGCTTCAACCAGCCCTAATTGTAACCGTACCTTAAACCATCACCAAAATCCCAACCCTAACCTTTATCATGAGTGAAACCCATGCCCTTATGTTAACGATAACCCTTACTCAAGCCTTAACCGTAACTTTACCCTAACCTCGACCTAAACTACACTCTAATCCCTAACCCAAGGCGGAAGTCTCTGCCAGTCTCTCCCAGACACTAACTCAAACCCGGAAATTAACCCAACCACGAAACCAAAACACCAGGTTGATCTTTTCCGTTTTAGTTTTGGATACTTCCCACTTATGATTTCGGCATCATACTACAGTTTAGTTCACTTGAAAGGCCCATATTGAGCCTGAGAAAAATCCACTACTGAAAAATATTGCAAGTGAGATAAAATGTACTTATTTATTGATTGTCGTGCTCTTTTAATTTCAGTTATATTTTATAAAACGTATGCATACAACTTATCTTTTGTGTTAGCATACCGTTTAGACCGATGTCATCACCAAATTTTCAAATCAAAGAGATGATATCACTTGTTTTTTTAAAAAGCCTCCAATCATGAGATTTTCCGTGACCGTGCATGACATGGACAACATCGTCCTCTTTTTATACAAAAATATGTGAACTTTTAATTTTCATATACCGAATGCATAGCACATGAAGACGGGAGACCCTTTATCCAACCGCTACGGTTGATAAGGCTGAAAATTACTCAGGTGTCGAAAACCATATTTTAAACATAATTACACCCTTATTTTCCCATACACATTCAAATAAGGAGTGTTTTTTATCATATGAGCATATATGTGAACCGGTTTAGGCATGTTTTTTAACAAACAGTAATCAAAATAACACGTTCGTCAAAAATCAATAAAAAATGCACTTTAAATATTACTCGTTTTTCCCAAAGCGCGGTTTACACAGGCGACTGAAAATAGGTACATTCATATACCCATACCTCTGGGTTTCTGGTATATAAAGGGATCTTTCAGCAGGGTAATCAATATTTGACGTCTGATTAAGGAATTTTTTTATGCCGAAAATGCATCAAAGTATTACGATTAGCATTTTATGAGATCGATCATTTACCGGTGTCGGATGGAGCAACTCGATAAAATGACTTCTCATGACGTATTCATGACATTTCCTCGGTTTTCGAAACGGAATTTTTATGCATTAATCTAACGGGATGTAGCGACTTCCCAAATCGCTCAACCCACACAACGTCATATTAGAAAAAAGGCACTGTCCCGGGAATACTTCTAATTTCACTTTTAAGATCTTCGCTTTTACCACGGCAACCGGTTCTGAAATGGTTAAAATGCCCCTAAAACAGGCAATGCTGTCGACAGAAGCATTAATTCAAGCTCAAGACCACTGTATTAGTGCTGCTGTATTAGTGTCTGCTGCTTCTCCGCACCTGCGCAGAACACCGCCTCATCCTGACGAACACGTTCTTCTGTCTGCCGGAGCGAGAGAAGGCCACCTGGAGGCATCCTCGGTCGCGCCAGTGGCACCTGCTGGACTATGTCCTCGTCCGGAGGCGAGATCAGCGGGACGTGCTGGTGACGAAGGCAATCGCGGGTGCTGACAGGTGGACCCACCATCGCCTCGTCATCTCGAAGATGCGTATTCGCCAACAGCCTCGCAGGAGACCACAATGTAAGCGACCCCCAGGTAAGCTGAATGTTGCCTTGTTGTCTTTGCCCGCTCGCCATCTTCATTTCAGCAATGAGCTAGCTCAACGGCTAGACAACCTTCCTATCGCTGCCGCCGACGACGCCGCCGCTGCCGAGAACGCCTCAGTGGAGAACCTCTCGTGTCAACTGCGAGACACGGTCCAGTCGACGGCGCTCGCCGTCCTCGGTCGCGCTCCCCGCCAACACTAGGACTGGTTCGACGGCAACGACGCCGCCATCAGAAATCTGCTAGCTGAGAAGAACCGCCTACACAAAGCCTACGTATATCATCCCACTGATGCCACCAAAGCTGCCTTCTACCGCAGTCGCCGCCAACTTCAGCAACGACTGCGCGAGATGCAGGACACCTGGACTGCTCGCAAAGCTGAGGAGATCCAAGGCTACGCGGACCGCAACGAATGGAAGAACTTCTTCTCTGCGATCAAAGCTGTCTACGGTCCGCCGACGAAGGGCATCGCTCCTCTCCTCAGCGCCGACGGCAAAACTCTCCTGACTGAGAAGACGCAAATCCTACAGCGATGGGCCGAGCATTTCCGAGGCGTCCTTAAACGCCCCTCTGTCATCTCCGACGCCGCCATCGAGCGTTTGCCGCAAGTGGAGACCAACGTGGACCTCGACCTCCCGCCATCTCTCCAGGAGACCATCAGGGCCGTGCAGCAGCTCTCCAGCGGGAAAGCACCCGGATTGGACGCGATCCCTGCTGAGGTCTACAAGCACGGATGTCCCCAACTAATGGATCACCTGACTGCGCTCTTCCAAGAGATGTGGCGTCAAGGTGAAGTCGCGCAAGATTTCAAAGACGCAACCATCGTGCATCTCTACAAGCGCAAAGGGAATCGCCAAGTCTGCGAAAATCACCGCGGCATCTCCCTGCTGAACATCGCCGGGAAGATCTTCGCACGAATCCTCCTCAACTGCCTCAATAACCATCTGGAACAGGGCCTTCTGCCGGAAAGTCAATGCGGCTTCCGTCGTCCTCGTGGGACGACGGATATGATCTTCGCCGCCCCTCAACTTCAGGAGAAGTGTCAGGAGATGCGGACCCACCTGTACTCTACCTTCGTGGACCTCACGAAAGCCTTCGACACGGTGAATCGTGAAGGACTGTGCAAGATCATGCAGAAATTCGGCTGTCCGGACCGGTTCAATCAGATGGTGCGTCAGCTGCACGACGGTATGATTGCGCGAGTCACGGACAACGGAGCTGTCTCAGAGGCATTCGCAGTGACCAATGGAGTGAAGCAAGGCTGCGTACTGGCGCCTACCCTCTCCAGTCTTATGTTCTCTGTCATGCTGATGGACGCCTACCGCGACGAACGCTCCGGGATCCGCATCGCCTACAGGACGGACGGTCACCTGCTGAATCAACGGCAGATGCACTTCAAATCGCGCGTATCTACAACCACCGTGCACGAACTCCTCTTCGCCGACGACTGCGCCCTGAACACCACCTCGGAAGAGGAGATGCAACGGAGCATGGACCTGTTCTCCGCCGCCTGCGAGAACTTCGGTCTGGTCATTAACACACAGAAGACGGTGGTGATGCACCAACCGCCACCCAACTCGGCCACAGCCCCCAACGCGCCGCCGCAAATCAGCGTGAATGGGACCCAACTGCAAGTGGTGGAGAACTTCCCATAACTGGGCAGTACTCTCTCCCGCAACACCAAGATCGACGACGAAGTCGCCAACAGGATCTCGAAAGCCAGTCAAGCCTTCGGTCGCCTCCAATGCACAGTTTGGAATCGTCATGGTCTCCAACTGAGCACGAAGCTGAAGATGTACAAGGCCGTCATCCTGCCGACGCTACTGTATGGAGCGGAGACTTGGACGGTGTACGCAAAGCAGGCACGTCGTCTGAACCACTTCCACCTCAGTTGTCTTCGTCGCATCCTGAGGCTGAACTGGCAGGATCGAATCCCCGACACTGATGTGCTGGAACGGACGGGAATCCTCAGCATCTACGCCATACTGAGGCAAATGCAGCTGCGCTGGAGCGGCCACCTGGTGCGCATGGACAACGAGCGACTACCCAAACGACTCTTCTACGGAGACGTCGCGACGGGTTCTCGCAGTCAAGGAGGCCAGATTCGCCGTTACAAGGATACCCTGAAGTCCTCCCTGAAATGCCTGCAAATCAACCCCACCAACTGGGAGGAGCTCGCACTCGATCGACCGACCTGGAAGAGAACAGTGAAGACAGGCGCTGCGATCTACGAAGCCAACCGCATCGCTGCCGCCAAAGCGAAACGTGAAGACCGCAAATCACAATTTCGCCCAGTAAGAAACGCCTCCGCACAACCGCTTCCAACGTGTCCTCGATGTCAACGGACATTCCGGGCTCGAATCGGACTTGTTGGACATCTTCGGATTAACTGCGCCTCTCGAACGGCACCAACCATCGTCCCCCCGCCTGCCTCTTCCTCCTCCTCCTCCTCTCCGCCGCCAACTAACCCTGACAATTCTTCTGACCCACCACTTCCATCATTCTCCTTCTCCTCCTCATCCTCCTCCTCCTCCTCCTCATCCTCCTCCTCCTCCTCATCCTCCTCGCCCACTGCTCCAACGGCGGCCGCTCTGGCGACTGTCCCACGCACAGCAACAGACACTACCACCACCTCCCCCGACTCCAGCGATGAGGATCCGGACTACACCTGCCCTCACTGCGACCGTACCTTCCCCTCACACATCGACCTGGTCGGTCACTTGCGAATCCATCGCACAGAGACTGGCGAACCAGTGCCTGGAGCACCAACCTATACCCACCAAGCTCGTCTCAACTGCCCACACTGTCCTCACACTTTCAGGCATCGCATGAGCCTATTCGGCCACATGCGCATCCACGACGAACTGCTGTAGACAACCGCCGGCCACACCACACATTCACTTACTCCCTACCTCCTCCACCACCGCCATCACCCCACCAGAAATCAACACTCACACACCTCATGCACTCAACTGCCACCTCCCACGCAAGTGGGAAGTCCGCATCTCGACTCGGTCCCCATGCGGCTTCGGCTGCACGGGTGACTTGAGTCCGAGACTATCCCGACACATCAAGCGTCGTGGATAGGAAGGTTGTTGATTGACGCCCGCTCTCGGTTCACGCAGTTCGTCGCGTTGTGTGTGTGTGTGTTGTGCGGAGTGGCGGACTGGTTGGCTGGGAACGGGCTGAAACCGCACCTTCCACGGCAGTCTCACGCAATTGAGAGACACGCCGTTCAACCCCCGTTTTGTGAAATCCTGGTATTGTGTGTATGGGTGGCCAGGTCGTGCCGTGGCGCGCGCAGTCATGGTCAGTTGACCATGACAGCCACCGCGCCCATTCCCCACTCCAGTCTGCTGACCGGCTCGGACAGCGGCTGGGATGTGGGAGTGGGAAGGGAGAGTGAGGTCGACGACTCAGCGCACTTTCTCCTCACTATAAACAATCTGACGCGCTTGAAGCTATCACGGTGCGCTAAAAGCCGTGGCTTGGAATGTTGCCAACTGACGGGGTATCTTGGACCTCCTCCTTGACCGGAGGCGGTCTGAGAGTCAGGCTGCAATGGCTCCTTTTTAATGTGGCCTTTATGGCACTTCCATCACAGTGTGGGATCCGAGCCAGGCGTTGGCGGCACGCCCAGGTGCGGCTTCGGTCGTGCCAGCCTCCAAATCTCTCTTGTGTTGGTTGAAATCCTGGTTATTTGTTGTGTGGGTCAGGGGGTGTGGTGGAACGCCAAGGTGAGGATCCGTCCGAGCCATCCACCTGCGGCCTCTCTCGTCTCCGGTCTTCTTGACACTGTCTTGACACCGGGCTCGGGCGAGGGAGGAGAAGAGAGTGTAGGTAGATGCTACGCAAGTCTACCGGCACTATAAACCCCAGCGTAAGTCGCCGTCCCTGCTCCCATTGCTGCTACAACTGTGGGGCACACGGTGGACATCATCGAAACCGATGGTCGAACTGTCAGTGACAAAACAAGCATAATAAGAGAAATGAATTGCTCTCGGTAACTGGTATGTTTTCATGAATATCCATAGGGATTTAAAAGGGTTGCAGTTTGCCTAAAGAACAGTATATTGAGAAATAACGTGAATCGCCCACTGAAAGGCAAAAAAATGACACGCGATGTGGTTAGAAGAAGGAGAAGAAAAATTCAAGCCGACTGTCCTGGTCCAGAGCCTGTTGAGAACAATGTCATCGGGTATAATGCTAAACATGTTCTGCCTTATATCGATTCGTATGGCTGCTGTCAGCATTGCCATGGTTATATCCAGTCATATTTATGCAAGCTGCCTCATACTGCCATCATGTGAATCCGCGGCTACAGAAAAAGGAAGGCCGGATAAAAATTCTCTTTTGGGTCAGGTCGGGTGGTGTCATAAGTGCAGGAAACGTACAGCAGATGGTTGGGTGGCTTAGAAGTACGATTGCTGACAGGAAGCAGCTACTAGATCAGAGAGACAGTCTGAGTTTCACAATTTTTTCCGCAGCATGGAGTAGTTTAACCGGTTTGATGGGTTGCAGCAATAATCATTTCAGTCAGCGCTAATGTTGTCAGTCTCGACGCAAGTTGCCTGTTTGTGCTAGAGGTGTGTACGCCTGCAACCAATCTTTAGAACCTGCAGTGTTAACTGGCTTCACATTGACACCAGGCGGGTTCCATTTACGAGCCGAAGACGATAAAATTATTCACGCGCGCTGGCGAGTACCAAAGCAAACTCCGAAAGGCTCACAGTACTGTTTCGAAGCAAGGCGCGATGGACCGTTTACCGGGCTATTCTGAGATAGGTGCAGCATCAGTAGTTTCTTGCGCTCAACGTGACATGCAGTAAGTGGGCTAATTCATAAAATGTTAACAGCGATTCTGAAAGCCATTTTCGACTAAAAAATATTAATTAAGTAAAGATGTGATGTTAATTACTCTGAGCCAACTACAGAATTTCCGCTTTTGAACGAACGTCCTTCCGGCCGACTTCAACACTACACACTGCGACAAAATGACTACGCAAATATCATGAAATTTTCTCACTAATTTTTGACGCCCTTATACATATCTATGTGTTTTATAGAAAGAAGGCATAACAATATCTACTTTCTTATTCATTTGGTAGAAAATTACGTTTTTTTCAAAGCTAATGCTTGAATGAAGGGTATTCTGATATTGGTGTAACATTAGTAGTTCATTTTACTCAACGGGACGTACGTTTAGTGTTACAACTCATGTAATGTTCGAAGAAATCCAGAAGTGCTTTTTCAACTCAACAGTATTACTTAGGTAGCTTTGTAATACTAATAATGGTGCACATAATTCCAAGATATTTCAGCTACTACAGAAGGTACCTCAAAAGAAAAGTGCTTCCACCCGCAAGCAAAGGCACAAATAGCGGACGATAACCATGGTTTGTACAATAAAAAGCCAGAATTAAAGGGTTATTTAAATTAAATTAAAATTTATGCAATTTAATAAGTCCTTTTTACGTCATGTGGTTTATAAAGTTAGCCGGAATAAAGTAATTAAAGAAGCCCACATCCCTTTTGTTCTGAAATATTATGAAATATGCGCATGAGAAGAAATATCCAAAACCTGTTAAGATAATTCTTCCTCATTGAAAACGTTTCATATTTTGGGTTAACATCTTATGAGATTGATTACTGAATGTTTCGCAAAATCCATTCAGAATCTACCAGCTAATATATTAAAATAAATATAGACAGGAATTCTATGCTTTGCACAAGGCGAATTGAATTAAAGCTGTTGCTGGAGTTTATGAAGTAACTAACTTTCAAAGGGAGTCCAAGAGACTGTTTTAAACGGATTTACCTATCTCCCTTGCAGTCATACGAAATAAAAATAAGGCAAAGGTCCACAAAGTTATACCGAATTTTTATAACAATTCTCTGTAGGAGTTTAAGAATACAATGAAGATGGGAAAACAACAGAAAATGCATCATCAAATTTCAGGGGAAGATGCGCGTAAGACGACTTATATTATATAAATTTCTAAATTGACTGACCCTGATATATTGAGCGTTGCTAGTGGAGACGTTGTATTGTAAGGCTTGACCACACTATCGAGGAAGGTAATCCGACTCAACGAGTGATGGGCTGCTGACAGTAATTTGCGTAATGTGTAGAAAATGCACATTTACCGAGAACAACTTTGTGGGTTTGACAGCGGATTTAAATTAGATGCCTTAGTTGACTGACAAAACTGTGCTCATAGTGTGAACGTGATCGTTCGCATGTTATGGAACGGCATCATGCTTGTTTATTAGAAGTGACAATGTGATATGGTCTATCGTCGAGAGCATAATTAAACCATCCCTTTGCACGTAAGCGTTGTAAAAATCGGTCATGCCGGTCGTGACAGGACACTTGGAAGATGGTTATGCGTTTTGCCCTTACAATCGGACATTCTCACCCGATCACCATGCTGTTACATCTCACTTTCAGAAGATCCACAGACAAAGATTGTGTTCAAAAGATCCTCCGAGCGCGCCAGACCTTGCATCTTTACATACTTTACGGGCTTCCTAACATCCACGGCTTCAGCTACGAAAATGCCAGCGATTTTTGAACTGAGAAAGAATGTTTAAACAGAATGCTAAATAGGATGTTTTCTGATGTTCAAGAATGTCAGCGATTGGCATTATAAAACGCTGTTTGAACCATACATGACAACGAAGTGTAAATAGCTGTCAACAACAAAAATAAAGTGTTCCAAATCATTTTATTGTACTTTAACTCTAGAATTATTCAAGTTTTGTTAACAGTCTAGAAGAGCGCTGTATGTAGTTTTAGTCATTTTCTCGCTGGGGTCTGAATTTGGTGAGGGAATGTAGGAATTTCCAGGCAGCAGACGATTGCATACGCGTAATGAGCTGACTAAAATGCGATCGCCCGAAAAAAGCCAATAACGCTCAAAAATGCACTTAATTGTCCAAAGCGTATGATGATATCTAAGTTCCTGTTTTCGGTGAACATATTCACGGTTATGTGCTCCTCACATTCATTAAAAGCATGTTAACTTGCCCAATTGGGACATTTAAATTTCCCTAGATTTTGCCGGTAGATAAACATTGAATTTTAGCATGATCAGATACGGTAAATCATTCTGTTTTGACACGCGAAGCTAACGTACCAGTTTTCGGTAGATTAGCAAAGAAAACATGGTTTCGCATCATGTGCGGCCTTATCAAAACCGAAAGGTGAAAGCGAATCCTTAAACCCGCATAAATCATAAACAGAAATCAGTAGGAACATGCGGCAATACGAGAGGCATTGACGGCAGGAGGCTCTTTTTTCAAAAACCTTAAGCGTGTGGTTGTGAAGAAGCGATTAGACGTTTTGGAGGCTAAACCAACTCAGTTTTATTTAACTGAATATTTCAAAAAACAGTCATTTAAATAATGGCCAGAAAACGTCGAATGAACAAATGTCGTCAGCAAAGCCAGTTTTCGTTAAAACAGAATACTGAAATTGCCGACGGCCAACAGCAGTTTAAGGGCTTTCCTAAATGTACTGTAAAGTAACTGAACGGAAAAGAATAACTCGTGACTAAGTGCCGCAAAAAATCAAGGAAACTGAGAAAAGAAGTCGGGAAATGTGAAAAACATCTGGCTGACAGAAACTGGGTGGAGTCACAAGAGAAGTGGAGTGAAAACGTGACCACGTGCTGCAGAGCACGGCTGACCGCTTGCGAAATGATGGCGCTCTTTAACTAGCCAATTCACAAACCGGGACGCTGGAGTGTCCATTACTCGGATGTGTCGTAATAAAATAAGGTCGGGGATGTAAGTCCGGGATCCGAAGCCCGCGTCAGTTGATCATCTAAAAGCGCCCCATCATCACATTACAGGGTTTGCGTCGCGACAT